ACATGAGAAAGAATAATAGTAATAAGCAAAATACACATTCGGATAAAAATGTACCCAATAAGGAGAACAACGCTCATAGTGCACAAACAGCCTCATCACCAATCCTGTATCCTTCTACCTCTTCAACGTATAAATTTAAATTAATTTATAGAGGTAGCCGTGATGGCTTTGATTCTTCAATATATAATTCAAAATGTAGAGGAAAGGGTCCAACAGTAGTTGTGGCGTCGTTAAGTCATCATCGATTCATCATTGGTGGATACTATCCAATCAGTACCGAAGGCACTTATCCTTGTTCTGTATTTACAGGAGCAGTTGATAGTTTTATATTTTCTTTTGGTGAAGGGGATAACTTGGAAGAGGAATCTACAATTAGTCGTATTTTAAAAGAGCATGCACATGAGGCAATTCGTCAAACGGTATATGGGCCAGGGTTTGGTGAGAGTGATCTTATTATTAAGCTTGCTGGAACCAACAATGCAAAGAATGGTGTTTGCAAGCAAAAATGTTATGAAAGAAAAATTATAGATGTTATAGATTTTGCTTTTGACGAGTGTGAAGTTTTTCAAGTTATTAAAGAGGAATTTAAAAATAATATGTAAAAAATCAACTGATGCTTTTTATATTTGAATTTTCGAATATTCTATGACAAATATCCGACAGATTAAGAGGAAAGGGCTTGTAGTGTGGGGTTTTTTCTGTACATGTACATAAACATATGGCTTTTCAATTCGTAGACAACAATTCGACATCTAGACTCTTTGCTAATCATTTACATTAATGTGTTAATATATTTTTGTTTTTTTACAATACAAGAATTTTGGAACTTTCACATCATCGAAGCTTGACACTTGGTTGCTTAATTGCACCGATTATTAATGTGGTATACCTTTGATCTATTAAAAACATTGCACGAACATTCACGAACTTATTTCTATACTTTTAGAATCCTGATTAATGAGCATATTGGGAAGTGGAAGTGAGAAGGGCAACATCAATTAGTATATATGTATTTAGATATATTAAATGCATAAGAGGTATACAGTATATAATAGGACTTACAATTTTCAAAGGATCACAATATAATTGTTATTAATGAAAACACGAATATATTAAAAGTTTTCAGTCAAACATAAACCACTGAAATTTTCTATAATTTTCTATTATAGATGAGATTTTTTTTTTTTGCTTGATTGGTATGTGAAGAAATTGGCATGTAATTTTATTAAATATCTGAAAAAAATAAATAAATAGAAAGGTGCCAGTGTAAAAAATAACAGCAGTTAATTATTCTTGTCAAAACATTTAAAATGAAACTAGTAATATGGGTTTTTT